CTTCTTCAAATTGTCTCGGCTGGTTTTTCCATTATGCACATGTTCTTTCAACCACAATAAAGTAATGTTATGTACATTAAAAGGATACCTGTTTATGGGTGTTGAAATTATATGTGACATCTGATAACACTATCAGCTTTTGGGACATCTGATTTTACTACTTACTTGTACAGCCCAATCCACATCTTGTAAAAACACTTTCAAAGTTTCCTTCTTCCGCTTTAACAATCCTGTATAACATAAGATGTTATATTACAAAATGTTCATGTAGATGAATCTTTGTGTTCAAGATTTATTTATAATTGTTGTTTTCCTTGAAGCAATATCAAATTTTCCTTTAGTTTCTAAACAACTTTATGCAGAAAATGTGTCATATCATGACTTGGATAAAAATTATCAAGAGGCATATGGGCCACATAGTTCACCTCAGAACATGGTCTAAGACAAGAGGTCCATGGGCCTTATGGGTCACCTGAGCATCATGCATCAACTTTCCAATGATTGAATTTGGTTCACCCTTTAAAACAAAATGCCATGGCATTCACAATTTTGAAGAAGTCACCATTGCTAATCATAACTTTACACTAAACAATTGATTAGTTTGGATACTTAATACCCATAGGAAGGGTATGGGAACAAGAACAAAAAATAATTTCAACTAATCAGTAATATTCAACAATAGTCAGTAGTGCCACTTCCACACATAAACTTCTGCCCCTTCGTCCACACATTTCACAATTCTGGAAACAAGCACCCTTGCTCATCAAAAATGTTTGATTAATACCAGGAGCAGATTTCAAACAATTATTTTTTTTCATCATATAAGTAGAAACCCTCCCCCCTTCTATGGTACCCTGATCCAGGGGCCTTGAAATTCACAATTCTGGAAGGAGGACCCTTTTTCATCATAGCTACCGTATATAGGTAGTTCATCTGCTTAATACCCAGGAGCAAAGCAGGAGAATTTCAAAGAATCAATGTATTTTCTCTATATAACTAATAAAGCCACGCATCGCCACCAGAACCCATAACCCTTGGGCCATAAAATTCAAAATTTTGGAAGAGACATTCTTCATCATTATAGATGTGTGAATAGTTAGTTTATTTTATGCCCAGGAGCAAAGAAATTTCTCAAAGAATTAATGTACATGTATTTTCACTACATAATCAATAGAGCCATGCCCTAACACCAGAACCCCTGACCCTGCGGCCATAAAATTCACAATATTGGTAGAGGCACTCTTGCTCATCATAACTATGTACTTAGTTGGTTAATTTAATACCCAGGAGCAGAGAAGAAGATTTTGAAAGAATTCATGTATTTTCACTATATACCTATTTAGCCCCCTCCCCCCTAGCACTATAACCCCTGACCCCAGGGCCATGAATTTCACAGTTTTGGTAGACAACTCAATGCTGATTACAATCATGCAAACAATTTGACTGCTTGATGTCCAGGAGTAAAGAAGAAGATTTTTAAAGATTACATTAATATTAGTGGTTTTGGCCGACGACGGACGACGATGGACGAAAACGGATAGCAATAGGTCACCTGAGTTTACTCTTAACTCAGGTGACCTAAAAACGGAATTAATAGTTTGTCCATATCTTGGTACATGGGTTTCCATAAAAAACAGACTTTTCTTGATATTAGAATCTTTTCTCACTTTAGAAAAGATATTTTCTGCTAAACCAGGTCAGGAAAGAGTTATCTCCTCTGAAGTCTGCATGAACTACGTGCAAATAAAAATGATTTTTTTGTCAACATTCCTCTCACAAATACTGATAATTGGACTTGCTAGTGAATATTGTTTCATACAAAGAACGTTGATCTGTTCATGATTACGTTAACATCTTAAAAACCAATGCACACAATTACACTTGGAATTATTGAGAAAATGTAGTGTAACTCTTTTGTGTGTAAGACAAGAGAATTTGTTCGTGGCATGTATCGTTTAAAATCATTTCTTCATAGATATGACATATAGGTATATCTGCTCTGAACAATGCGACATGATTCCACTTTGGAAAACTTGGCACAGATCAAATAAAGTAAGTCTGTGAATACTCAGAATATTTTAATATTTTTTACACGCAGTCCACACATAAGAAAAACAAGAGGCCCCAGGGCTTTGAATCGCTCTTCTGATAAATTGTACAAACCTATCACTTGTATTTGAAGCATCTAACCCCAAGTACCCTAAAACCCAAGTTGCATCACTGATAGAAACTTTGATGATTCTTAGCCAATTAGGACTGAAGATATTTTAAAGCTATAAAAAAAAACATGAGTAGGTCACGGTGACCTACTTTAAGATTGAAGTTTTCTGAGGACTCAAAGATGCATTAATAGACAAAGTAAGACTGAAGATTCTAAGCCAATGTGTATTTGAGATATTCAAAAGTAGGTCACCTTGACCTACTTTTTGGTCTACATTCTTGGAAAGGGTAAAGCCATCATCAAAGTAATGAACCGAACCTTTGAAGATGTTGAGTTGTTTCAAGGTAATGTAGTAGGTACAGTATGAATGTTGATATTGCTAGTGTCGTGGCTTTAGATGGTCAGCTTGAAAATGCCAAGCGAATCAATTCTGTTCAACCTGGTTCTCACAAGGTAGAGTATCCCAACATTATTAAGAAATAACCGGTCGCAAATCAGATCCCATTGATTTTGATCTAAAGGCTACTGACCTCACAGACAGTCAAAAAGAGGTATTGGTAAGCTATTTGAACAAAGGAAAAACTTTGCAAGAGACCTTAGTGAGCTTAGCAAAACAAATGCCCATAAGCATAGAATGTTGTAGACCAGTTCGGTTGAATCTTTACAGGTTCTCGTCGCAGTCTACTAGAGAATAAATGAAATGTTCGAATATGACATTATTCAGCCGACTTTTTTCAGATGTTGTTTAAAATGGCCTGTAAGAAGATTAACACCCTTAGTTTATTTATTTTATGTGTCAATACTACAAATTGCTTGTCTAAAAAAAATTAACCATGTTAACATTATCAGCTTAGCGTTTTAGATTTTCCACGTACGTAATATCCTACCTATTAATAATCCCTTGTCAGTATGGTGAAAAAGCGATGTCTTTACTTCTCTTAAAAACCTCCATTTAAGGATGGATTCTTCTCATATTTCTTATATTCACAGAATCTTGATTTTCTGAATAATTAATATTGAGTATGTGTACACTTATTTAACATCCAAACAAACCGGTGTAATCAGCCTTGATTTTCGGTCAAGGTCGTTTGAAAGTCAGTCCTAAAAATAGTACTTTTACACATAGAAATTTTGAAATTTACGCATAGGAATAAATTTTGCTGACAGAAAAAAATATCTTGCTCAATAAAATTAAAGTTGTAACTTATTTTTGATCACTAACTAACATGAATTGAGATGGTGGGAAAAAAAACATGAGATCCTCAATGTTCAATAAAAACATTTAATCCGAATTTCCTCGATAATTTCTTTCAAATTTCTCAGTTTTCATAAATTTACATGAAATTTCATTTCAATTTTTACAATTGATCATATATTGTCAAATATTTAGATTTTTGTCAGATGAGTATTCAAATGTTGAAGATTAATTTACAAGAGAGAAAAGATATGGTATTCATGCTAATTATAGAACAAATTTAGCCCGAATTTACTCAACAGTTTCTGAAATATTCCATTTTACAGAGTGGTGATCAAATCTATAAGAAAGATTCTTAACCCCCCGAGACAGGCCATTTGGTGTAATTGTGACACATATATACATTCAATTCCTCCATTTATACATTTCATTTTATGATAGTTTGTACAAATATTTAAAATATTTATTTCGAATTTCCTCTAGCTAGTGTCATTTTATTCCAATGAATAAGTTAGGTTTGACAATTTTATAAAATACATTCTGGATTCTTTTCCTATTTTATATATTCAGAAAATAATGCAATTATGCATGGAAACATTTCAAGATATGCGCAATTAAACGACAAGAAAAGATGTGGGGTCATCATCCTTGCTTATGTTTGAAGGTCATTTGAAAAGTTGGTGCTAAAAATAGATTTTTCCTCCTGTGGAATTGAGAAATTTTGAAATTGATGTTTTGGAAAAATGGAGATGATTAGGTATGAAAAAACAATTTAAGTCTTATCCTTTATGTTAAAACAATGTACTAAAGTAAAAAAAATAACAAACTTTTGATCACAAATGACACAAAATATTTATTCTGAATTTCCTCTGTACTCTTTATAAAGTGATATTTTAGTCTTTGACATTCATTCTTTTTCATTTAATTTTTTACTTAAATTATATATTCAGGAAAAAATATTTTTACAACCATAGGAAAGATAGATGTTGAATGAATCATTTACAACAAAAAAATAAAGGAGTATTCATATTTATTAAATGGCCAGGTTAGCTCGAATTTCCTCATTTTAAATATTATCACTAAAAAAGAAAATGCTTTCAATATATCATATAGGCTAATAATTTAAGAGACAGGACAGGCGGTTAGATAATACATTTTCTCTAAAATGTGATATGATGTATTATTTTGGAAATAATTGCTGAAATTATTGCCATGTTTCCAAAAAAACTTCTAAAAATTCAATCCGAAATTCCTCTGTTATAAAATATACCGGTTTCATTATTTACAGAAAAAGTAAAGGTTTGCGAACGAAATACATGTATATTTTTGCTGAGTTAAAGGCCAAAACTTTATGTTATATTATAGAATCTTCATATATGTTGTACATGAACTATATGACATGTATAAAAATATTTATCAGCACCAACACAATTACAATAATTGTCAAGGGTGCAACATACTAGTATAAGAATCACCAATTGTTCATACAATTTTATACAATACACTGCATCTAGATTTTGGGGCTATACATTCATCCCACAATAATATAATTTACACAATAATACACAATAAATATGTATTACAATGATTTCTAAATATATGGTATTTCTTAATAAATAAGTGTTATTTTCAGTATTTCTGTACATTCAATGACTAATCTATCAAAGATGTATGAGACAAATTTGATACTTTTCCTTTCAAGAAAAAAATACATCAATATCCTCTTAAAAGTTAAATTATAATTATTGTATTTTTTTGTAGCTAAATAAAAACGAAATACATCTTAAATCTCTCCTGTGTAACAAATAATTTACAAAATCTTTCATTAGGGAGTGTTTATAGGTAAATCCCCTTTTCTGTGGCAAGGTTATGTGCACCAAGTCTCAACCTGTTAATGATTGGTCTCTCTGTTCTTTTTTTTTTGGGGGGGGGATATCAGTGTAATTCACAGAATCTGAAATCATCAAAAACAACAATAACTTAAATAACATTTTAGTTTGGTGAATTATGAACCTTTTCTCTTTTAAATATTGATCTGATATTGTTTGTTTAATTGCTTCTCAGATATGATTTTTAATGAATTTGAGGAAAAATCTTAACTTGCTAAAAAATGAGAAAATCTTTTTAGTTCACCACTCACTTGATGTGCAAATTTCTTGCTGAACATCTGTTCACCTCCTGAGAGTCCAATTTTTTTGCCTACAATAATAAAAAAAGGATTAAATATATGCATAGCAGTAAAAATGCTGCATTACATGTTACAGTGTATTATACTTTCAAGTTAAATACTAAAATCTGATTATATAGTTTAGATGCATCTAACAATCTTTTTTGTTATACTTTTAAAATTTGTTCCTATACAAAACTATACATTTCTAATGTTTTGCTGAACGGGCATAAAACAATTGATATGTATTAAACTACTGAGTGAGATGTCGGACCAGTCGATGAAATGTTGGATCGCTTACATGTACATCACACAATTGGTGGAACTTAATCAAATTTGCATTTGTTGATGTTTAGCAGTGACGGACGTGAAGTTCATGACAGTACAAGATAAATATACATCTAAATAAGTATTAAAATGAAATGTATCACAAAACGTTTACCAACTGTGTTCTCAAGCAAATAAATTTCATCAATCCTCAAACAAATTGTCTGCCTTCCAGGCGTATCTGTCTCAGGCAGACACTTTGGATCTTGGGTCTGATAAAATGCAAGTTGCCCTTGAACTCAGTCAGTAATATTTAAAATTGACATCCCTTGTATCAGTTGACAATGGTTTTCCTCGGGGTGTCAATTTGGATTGTAGCCCTTAAAAACATGCACTATTTATATAAAAGTTAGATACAGTTGTGTTCATATTTCTTATAATAATGTACCTCAGTAGTCCATCTGCAAGCAGATTTGTTCAATCATCCTGCCTAAGTCTGGCCTTCGGTCTACCTTCAACTACAAGTAGACTACTCCTGGGTAAATTAAGTACTGTAGGGCTGTTTGCTCCTAAGAATTAAACATGAACAGTTCTTAGACAATTGTTTTTAAATTAACAAAAACTGGTTATAAGATTAAACATTCAATCTTATCTGTATTTCATTTATTGATTTATAAAAAAATGAATAAAGTTTTTAATAAATATATTTTATTTTATACACCACATTGTATAACAGTGTTTAATGTCTTATTTAAATTTGTACTATAAAAAAAAAACATTTTAAAACCTAAAAACACAGAAAAAATACAAGAATCGCGAGCGCAGCGAGCGTCGCGAAGCGACGCTCGTCACTGCGAGCTCTTAAAGCAACACCTGTGCGAAGAGAAAATTCGGACTACTGCACATTCATTCGATAGAATTTTTTGATGCCGTAATTTCGACCCACAATGCATCACTTGTTTAAGCTACGTTAAAGCTACGTTCTCGTGAGAATAGTTACAAAGGTACTAAAAAGTATATATGCCCTGATTAAATGGATAAATAATGAAGATAAATAGCAAACAAAACGTTCTTCATTTTGTTTGCTATTTATCTTCATTATTTATCCATTAAATCAGGGCATATATACTTTTTAGTACTTTTGCAACTATTCTCACGAGAACGTAGCACTGATCAGGGTTCTTTAGGGGAAATGTAACTTACATACGACGTCATGTGACGTCTAGACCAATCTCTCACCAGAGGGCGTTTTACGCTCATCGCTCCAAGCGGAGCGCGCCCTCTGGTGAGAGATTGAGTCTAGACGTGGAGTTCGACGTACGAGCCCGATTTTAATTCTAACAAAATAAACATCTGCGCTCGCCACAACGGTCGCACCGTCAACATATTATATAAATAATTTCTGGACCATTGTGTTTTATTTTGCTTCATAAATTAGACAACTGTTTGTCTCAATGTTATTGATTTTTCCACACAATATATACTCATTTTTCACTTTGATTTGTACCCCAACGGAACACCTTACTTTTCTAAAAACTTCATGATTGATGTGTCTTTAACAAATAAGGCTAGTTAGTAATGTAACTTGTTGTAATTATATACAAAAAATGCTATTTTTGTGAATAATTATTTGTCATAAAACTGACGAACACACGGCAATGATAAATTTTAATCCTCAAATGTAGAACAGTCGCGGGAACATCACACGAAATTATGGGTATACATCAATCTATAATATCCTTGCTAATTCCCATTTATCAGTAAAAACCACGTAATTCATTTTTAAAATTATGAATTAAATTGTCAGACATACATAACTAACTTACATGTACAATCTCACTGCACAGTGACACGACATGACATCAGGCGATCGAGGCAACGTGGGTTTGCAATCTCGCATGTTTGTGACCTTCAAGTTTCCTTTGGTTGATCGGGTGTCCCGGGTATAAAGAAATGGATGACTTAAAATTGTTTTAATCATTGCTTCTACAATTCAAAACAATCCTCTCGGGGTCATCTACGGGAAACGACCTGGACATGTTGACATTCGCTACAGAACTGCGTATTTTGTGGGAATTGTCGCAAATCAAAGAAAAATTCACGAACAACTTAATTTTTTTAAATAGAAATAGACTCAACAATACATAAAATAATAAATAAAACAATAATTTTTTATTCAGATTGATTAAATATGTAATTTGCATTTTACGACTTCCAAAATCTATGGAGACCCATTGACGACGTAAAATGCTGACAAGAATCCATCCTTAAGATGTTAAGCAGGAATAAAGAATTTTTTAAATGTATAATTTAGGATGTAATAGGTAAAGTAATTGTAGGGAGACAATAACTTTATACAAGGTATGTTTCAACGAATAGGTGAAATAGGTGAATATGCTCTTAGGTGAAAAAAACTGAATTGATGTCATTTGACAAAGGGAGTTTATATAAGATATTACAAAAATATATCTTCCAGCCCATGCAAGTAGATGTTAAAAACACGAATTACAGGTATCTGGTAACATTTTAAGCATCTACAATGAAAAAATACTTAAAATGTGTCAAAGATAAAATGAATCTGTAACCATGTAGATTTGTTTACAAAATCTAAACTAAAAAAATGAAAGAAAAAGTGAGCTAGCTCACAAACCCCACGCTCCCCCATAACTTGACGGTGAAACACATAATGAAAGGCACAGTGCACTTTAAATACATAGTATTTATTTTGTATATTTGTTTAATGGACGTTGAGATTGAATACTGTTCGTTATTTCTATATCCTTCATAGATCAAAAGGGCAATACTGTGGCCTTCATAGATCAAAAGGGCAATACTGTGGCCTTCAACTCGACATTTAGATATATCGACGACGTATTGTCTATTAATAATGATAATTTCCATTCCTACGTCGACACGATATATCCTGGTGAGCTTGAAATAAAAGATACCACAGAGTCCGACAATTCTGCTTCATACTTGGATATTTTACTTGAAAAAGACACTAATGGTAATCTAACAACCAAGCTATATGATAAACGTGATGACTTTAACTTTTCTATCGTCAACTTCCCTTACTTATGCAGCAATATACCTTCATCACCTGCATACGGAGTATTTATATCTCAGTTGATTCGATACGCAAGAGCATGCTCTACGTATGAACAATTTCTTAAACGAGGTAAATTATTGACAAGCAAGTTGATGAAACAAGAATATCAACAGTCTCGTTTAAAGTCATCATTTCGTAAATTCTATGGTCGATACAATGACCTTGTCAGCAAATACAATTTATCATTGAATGAAATGCTGACTGACGTTTTTCATACCAATTGTTAGTCCATTATTTATACACTGAATTGACCACGGATTTTTTCCGTTATATCCTGATTATGACAACGAGTACACGGCGGGTGTGACCGGTCAGCAGGGGATGCTCACTCCTCCATGGCACCTGATCCCACCTCTGATGTTTCGGGGGTCCGTGTTTGCTCTGCTCTTATTTTGTATATTTGTTTAATAGACGTTGAGATTGAATACTGTTCGTTATTTCTATATCCTTCATAGATCAAAAGGGCAATACATGTTATTGCAAAAAATCTTCATATCAAAATGTCTTGCATATGAGAACATTTAAATGTGGAATGAAGTTTCTAGATAAATTATGGAATCAAAATTTCTTGACAATATACATGATATACAAATCCACCCATTAATTTGAAGTGGGGGGGGGGGGGGTGTTGAGAAATTTTCTTGAATAATAAGCAAAACTCTTTGGGATAAAATAATGTAATATGTCCTAAATATCAGCATAAGTTGACGAAACTATGTACAACAGTTTAAGAGGAGTGGTGCTAACAAACTGTTCATCGCTATATTCAAAATATGGCAAAAAAGTCTAAGTTGCAAATTCCTGAAAAAGTAATGGAAACGGAATTTCCTGGAAATATGCACATCTACATATTCTGTCCTAAATACCTGCAAAGTTTGACGAAATTCTGTGCAGCGGTTTATGAGGAGTTGTGCTGACAAACTGTTCATCTCTATATTCAAGGTATGGCCAAATGCCAAAGTTAAAAGTGCAGAAATTCCTGGAAAAATAAAGGAATCGGAATTTCCTGGTGATATGCACATCTACATATTGTGTCCTAAATACCTGCAAAGTTTGACGAAATTCTGTGCAGCGGTTTATGAGGAGTTGCGCTGACAAACTGTTCATCTCTATATTTAAGGTATGGCCAAATGCCTAAGTTAAAAAGTGCAGAAATTCCCGGAAAAATAAAGGAATCGGAATTTCCTGGTAATATGCACATCTACACATTGTGTCCTAAATACCTGCAAAGTTTGACGAAATTCTGTGCAGCAGTTTATGAGGAGTTGTGCTGACAAACTGTTCATCTCTATATTCAAGGTATGGCCAAATGCCTAAGTTAAAAAGTGCGGAAATTCCCAGAAAAAATTAAGGAATCGGAATTTCCTGGTAATATGCACATCTACACATTGTGTCCTAAATACCTGCAAAGTTTGACGAAATTCTGTGCAGCGGTTTATGAGGAGTTGCGCTGACAAAAAAAGAGGACTGACAGACTGACTGACTGACTGACTGACCGACTGACGGACCAGTCAAAAACATTATACCTCCCGCAACTAGTTGCGTGGGATATAATAAAAAAAAATGAAAATGTGTAGAAATTTCAAGCATCATCCATTATTACATTTATGTAGATATAAAGAAAAATATCCAAATATGTATATGCATGGAATAGACAGAAAAATGCACATGCATGTATGCATTCGAAATTCTTACACCCATTTTGCATGGGTTTAATTATTTTTAAATGGTCTTTGTATTTTATAATTCAAAAATATCCTTGCTCACTAAGGAAATTCATAAACACTTCCTCTGCTTTTTTCATCAATGGCAAATCATCCTCATGACCCTTTTCTTTTAAGACATCCCCTTGGATGAAAAGAAGGGACATGCTACATGCCGCTGAATAAGGAAGCTGGTCCATATAGTAGATTCCCATAAGTGCCAAGATAGCAGTCTTTGCATCCTTTATTTTGGCGACTTCCTCTCCACCGAATTTCTGGAACATAATCCAGGGGGAGCATAAGTTACGGTGTTTTTATGCTATTTCTTTGAAAGCCTCACCTCTCTGGGAAAGAAAACCAAAATTAACATTTAAACAAGAGGCCAATGGGCCTTATAGGTCACCTGAGCATTATGCAACAACTTTCCAGTGATTTAATGTTTTAAGCCAGATGCTATGGCGTTCAAAATTTTGAAAAGGGCGCCATTTATCAGCATAACAATATATGCAGTTGATAAGTTTTTTTTACTTACTACCAATAGGCAGAGTAAAGGAACAAAAATGCATTTCAAGTAATCAGTAATTTTCAGCAATAATCAGTAAATCCCCTATCACACATGAACCCCTGACCCTTAGGCCTAGATCCACACATTGCACAATTTTTGAAAAGGCATCCTTGGTTTTCAAAAATATTTGATTATTACCAAGGAGCAGATCTCAAACAATTCATCCAGTTTCCGTATATAAGTTCACCCCCTCGATGGTACCCCTGACCTTGGGGCCTTGAAATTCACAATTCTGGAAGATTAAGGCCCTTGCTCATCATAAGAATATAGGTAGTTCATCTGCCTAATACCCAAAAGAAAGTTTTCAAAGATTTAATGTATTTTTACTATATAATCAATAGAGCCCCACCCTAGAGCCATAAAATCAAAATTTTTGAAGAGGTATTCATGTTCATCATAGCTATGTAGTACATAGTTTATTTAATTCCTAGGAACAGAAAAGAATTCATGTATTTTAACGTTATAATCAATAGAGCCCCACCCTAACGCCAGAACCCCTGATCCAGGGGACATAAAAGTCACAATTTTGGTAGAGGCACTATTGCTCCTCATAACTATGCACTTAGTAAGTTTATTCAATACATGTACCCAGGAAAAGAGAAGATTTTCAAGAATTCATTTAATTTCACTATATAATCTATAGAGCCCCATCCTAACACCAGAACCCCTGCCCCTTAGGCCATAAAATTTACAATTGCTCATCATAACAATGCACTTAGTTTATTTAATACGCAGGAACAGAGAAGAAGATTTTAAAAGAATTAATGTAATTTCACTATAGAATCAATTGAGCCCTCCCCCCTAACACCAGAACTCCTGACCCTGGGGCCATATAAGTCACACTTTTGGCAAAGGTACTCTTGCTCATCATATCATGCACTTAGTAGGTTTGTTTAATACGCAGGAGCAGAGACGATTTTTAAAGAATTAATGTAATTTCACTATTTATTTTATATGAGCCACGCCCTTACACCGAAACCCCTGATTCTGGGGCCATAAAATTCACAATTTTAGTAGAGGCACTCTTGCTCATCAGAACTATTTACTTAGTAGGTTTATTTAATACCAAGTAGCAGAGAAGATTTTCAAAGAAATAATGCATTTTCACTATATGCTTATTTAGCCCCGCCTTAGCATTAGAATTCCCTGACAACGGGGCCATGTATTTCACAATTTATATTCATGCAAACAGTTCGTCTGTAAAGAAGAAGATTTTTAGCCATTTGTGCGGTGTGCGTTAACTTTTTAGAATATAGGCCATAACTCGAGAACCCTTTGGCCAATCAGTACCAAATTCGCCACAGGGTATCCTTGGCCCAAGGACTACCATTTATACCAAAATAAGGGTTGGGACCCTAAAACAAGGGGAGATAATCAGGAAAACAAAACCAAAAGTACTAGTTGCTAAAAAATCTTCTTCTCCAGAACCGCCAGGCAGATTTTCACCAAACTTACATACAAGGATCAGGATATGTTGAAGATTTAAAATTGTTCAAGGCATGACCCTGGGGCAAAGGGCGTGGCCTCAAGGTCACTTTGAAGTTGACCTAAATTTACAATTTATAAAATTTTATATATTTTGCTTACTTTAAGGGC